CCACCCCAGACACTTGCCTGTTCTAACCTTGGTCTAACCTCAGGACCTTTGCACTAGCTATTCCTGGAGACCAGCTATGATTGGTACCTTCCCATCTGTCAAATCTCAGCTCAACTATCACCTTCTTTGAAAGATGTGCCTTCGGTCCTTTGGTGTTTTGTGAGTCAAGACACCACCAACTCTTTACATGCTCTAGACAAGATGCACAACTCCTCTTCCTCACCGCTCTGCCCTGATCAACTAAACCATTTATTTCACATGCCTAGCCCCTGTAGGCCTTTAAATATGTGACTTGCATTATAAACCAAGTCATGATGATGTTGATGATGGTGGTGGTGATGATGATGATGGTGATGATGATGATGGTGGTGATGATGCTGATGATGATAGTGATGATGGTAATAACAAATGTCACCGATAATATCTGACATTACTGAGTACTGAATATGCACTAAGAGCTACAAACAGCATCTTACTAGTATTATTTAATATGCTTTTTTAAAAAGTCTATCATTATAGGTAAGCAAGACATGGAAACCTTTTATCACTCACTTTAAATCCTGTTGCTTATTTTTAAAAACAAGTTGCAAACTCTTGTATTTTTTTGTGCTTTTGAACATCGTGATTATTTCTGTTGAGCCCAATATTGAGGAAACCTGCTGGATGGATCAATTGTGGCTTAGTCCCTTGTGCTTCCCCAGTGTCTATTCCAGTGCCTTGTGTGTGGTAGATCTACAGGAAATACATGGGTTATCCCAGGAAAGAAAGGAATAAAGTATGCCTTTCTTTTAATGTGTGGGGACATTCCCTTCCTGCCCTGTTTCATATCTTTAATGATTTCTGTTGGAATCTACCCAGGACAACTATAGGGCATCTGTGCCACTTCCTCATTCATGGCAGACATCACTAACTGATAACAGCATCCATTCTTCATGAGTTCAAAACAGCTCCAGAATTCTCACCAACAAAACACCCCAGGCAGTCTCTACCAATTCAGTTGGGGTTGTCTCAAGATCCTACGACCTGATGACATGTGGAAAACTCTTTGGTTTTCCTAGAAGGCATCTGTGAATTGGAAGGCTAAGCTCAGGCTCATCTGAGTCATGACTTGATTCAAACCTGCTCACACCCTCCCCTGACCAATGGCCAGAAAAGGTCAGCAGTAAATGGGGGCTGCAAAAACCCAGATTTATTTCCATCAGTTGACCTCATATTTGTCTTCCCTGTGCTGAAGTTGCTCCTTGGCCAAAGTTTCATCTTGAAATGGGAAAACACTGGATCTAGGGTCCCTACATCCTCCTCCCCAGGCAGTGTCCCTGATGATTTTCTCATAGTTGGACCATCGGTGTCTCAGAGCCTGCAGAGACCTCTCCCTCACAGGTCTCAGGGACAGGCCATGTGATGTTGGATTAAGATCACAGGCTCTGGAGTCAGGTGACCTGGGAGATTGTCTCAACCAGGACTTGACACGTGGTCAACCTTCAACACGTGGAAACTGTTAGTATTGTTGAGAAAGGTGGGGTTGGGGGGGATTCTAGATGTAAAATAGATGGAAGGTGATACCAGTGTACATCCACAGTCCACAGGGAGATAAGGAGGCCTGGATGGATCCCAGCCAGCAGCTGCAGGGGCGGCAGTGGGGCTGACCATGATAGTCCCTGCCACAGAGCAATGGAATGACAATCCAAATGAGGGAATTAGTTACAAAAGCAAGAAATTGCGGAGTATCCTGGCCCCTTCCTTTCCATTCACTCCACTTTTTAACCATCAGTACGGCGCATATCCCAGATCCGTCCACTCTCCCGCACCACCACTCCAGCTGTAGTCCAAGCCACCGCCATCTCTTGCACCGGCAGCGCTTTCCACGTTGGTCGCCCCACTTTTATCCCAGCCAGAGGAACTTTTCAAAAATCTACATCAGAGCATGTCACTCTCCTGAGTAACATCTTTTGGCTGCTTCCCATTGTTATTACAATAAAATCCATGTTCCTCACTGTGATCCACCAGTCCCTGAATGACCCCATTCTTGATGCCCCTTTTGTTTTCTTAAAGGAATTTATTTTCTGATTGACGTGTATTGGCTGTACATGTTTATGGGGTACAGAGTTATATTTCAGTACACGTATACAATGCGTAATGATCACATTAGGGTGGTTGGCATATTCATCATTGCAACACGTCATTAATTTATAATGAGAACATTTGATCTCCTCTCTTCTAGCCATTTGAGAACATACAATACATTATTGTTAGTTATAGATGCCTGGCACTACTGTACACCACTAGAACTTCTTTTTCCTATCTAGCTGTAATTTCGTGTCCATTAACCAACCCCTCCCTATCCTCAACCCCCCCTCACCATCCCAGCCTTTAGTATCCACAATTCTACTCTCTACTTCTGAAAGTTCAATTTATTTTTATCACTTATTTTTGCTCCCACATATGAATGAGAACATGTGGTATTTATCTTTCTGTGCCTGACTTATTTCACCTAACATAATGTCTTCTAAGATCACCTAATGTCCTTTCTGGCCTCATTTTTTTCATGCTCTTCTTGGCTCATGGCAACGTGGACATCACTGAAACACAGCAAGCTCTTTCCAGCCTCATGGACTTTGCACTTGCTGTTACTGTGGCTGGAAGTTCTTTCTTTGGCTGCTTGTCTGGCTGGCTCCTACTCATCAAGTTTCAAGCAAATGCCAACTTCTCATAGGGATCTTGTCTGATTTCTTTATCTAAATCAGACCCTGGTTTGTTTGTTTTCTTTAATCCTTCACAGTACTTATCACACTTTCATGGTACTTATTTGTTTACATGTCTGCTATCTGTTTCTCCCTTCTAGGAATGTAACTTCTTGTGGGCTTTGTCTGCCATGTTCCCTGTTGTACCCCATGTGGGTCGTTTGCGGCGGGGGGAGGGGGTCCTCAGATCCATTCTCCACCCTTCCCGTGCTCTGTTCTGTGGATTAGAGATCTGATCCTGAAAACTACATTTCCCAGATTCCCTTGCTAACTAACTTCCTGTTAGGTTCACCCAATCAGAGGCATAGGTGCGATTGTGGTAAGCTGGAGAAGAGCCAGGGTATTTCTTCACCTCTCTCTCTGCTTCATGGAGCGTCTCCACCAGGGCCTGTGTCTCCTCAATAGTCCCAGCAGTCTCTGGTGTACCCCTCTGTAACCCCTTTGTCCCTTCTGCCCTATGGGACTAGAGGCTTCCTCATTTCGTAATCTCCATACTACATTTTCAGGTGGTGGTATTATGTTTGCTTTTTCTTTTTCTTTTTCTTTTTGGTATTAAATTCCCTCTATTAAAGCAGGTGACATGAATTCTACTTTTCCCAACTAAAAATATATGTGCCAATGCCATGACGATGCCTTGCACATAGCTAGTGCTCAATAAATATTTGTTGAAGAAAGGGAGGGAGGGAGGAAGGAAGGAACTAAAATTATAACCTGGGATCTGGATGCATGAGTTTGGCCACATAAATGGGCCAATATGGGGGAAGTCTTGGGGTCACTTTACATACCTGCAAATCAGGGCTCCTAGGAGAAGAACCAATTCCTGATACCAAGAGCTGTTGAGTATGATGTAAATGGTGGTCTTGTCTTGATTGGATCAAGAGCCGAGCTAAGTGGAGGCCTCTGGTGGAGAGAATCAGAGGCCATATGTGTGAAAGCTGGGGCAGGCTGGAGGAAGGGACTGGACAGAGAACTCCAGCAGGCTCAGGACAGGTCCTCTTACCTGCCTCTCCTGTTGCAGCCACAAGCCCTACCATGGTGCCTTTTACCCTCAACTTTACCATCACGAACCTGCAGTACATGCCAGACATGAAGCATCCAGGATCTGCAAAGTTCAACATAACCGAGCAGATCCTGCAGTACAATGTAAGAGCCCCGAGTTGCCTGCTGCCCACTCCTCCTCTCCCCTGCATAGCCCCTCAACCCTCCAACTCATCTCCCTCTCCTTCCTCCCCAGCTTGGTGCTTTGTTCAAGAACACCAGTATTGGCCCAGCATCCAGGATCTGCAAAGTTCAACATAACCGAGCAGATCCTGCAGTACAATGTAAGAGCCCTGAGTTGCCTGCTGCCCACTCCTCCTCTCCCCTGCATGGCCCCTCAACCCTCCAACTCATCTCCCTCTCCTTCCTCCCCAGCTTGGTGCTTTGTTCAAGAACACCAGTATTGGCCCGTTGTACTCTGGCTGCAGACTGACCTCGCTCAGGTGAGATGCCCAGGGGTGGGTGCTCACACTCCCAGGCCTTCCAGGTTCAGTTCCTAAATCCACCTTGTTTCCCACCTGCCCAATGTAGCAGGCTCTGGCACCTATGAGGCTGCATTTACTGAGCCCTCTCCCCAGTTCCTCTCTTCTCATGCTTCTGTTCTGTCTTCCTTCTGGTCCTAAACAAGGTGTAGAACATCCCCCAGGAGTGAATGCCCTGCAATTTCCAGAATTATTCTGTACTAAGGAGAATATAAAAAGCGAAAATGAACAGTCCATGTAGCATGCACATTTCTCAGCCTACACTGAAATTGTTCAGAGATTATGCAACGGATGTATTTGCAAGTGTCAGGGCTGCCCCCACCTGGTTTTTCCCTCCTTTGGTCTAATCTGGGAATGGGGTGGCAGGAAGCTGGTATGCGGATGGTGAACATTGTGCCAACTCTGGTCCCAATTCACCTTCTTCTCTGTTGATCACTTATAAATTCTAGGTTTTTTTGTTTCCATTTCTTTTTCTTTCTTTCTTTTTTCTCACCTTCTAAGAAAGATGGTTTCAGCTTTGTGGCTTTTCCAGACATTATTATTCTTGCAAGTCACCCTCATTATCAGTCCTGTATATGTCTCCATCCCCATCTCCCCTCCCTCAGGCCTGAGAGGGACGGATCAGCCACCAAAGTGGACGTCATTTGCACCTTCCACTCTGAGCCCACAAGCACTGAGCTGGACAGAGAGCGGCTGTACTGGGAGCTGACCCATGAGACCCACGGCATCACCAGGCTGGGCTTCTTCACCCTGGATGAGGACAGCCTTTATGTCAATGGTGAGTGGCAGGTCTCCCCCTGCCTACCCGTGGGTCTCAGTGCAGACTCTGTGCTCTGGGCTCATAACACACATCCTGGATTTCCTGTCCTCTCAGGTGTGGGGAGCATTTAAGCTTGTCCCAGACTGCCCTGCCCCTTTGGTTCTTTCTCTTGGAAAGAGGTATTTATTCACAGCTTTTCTGGGGATATTACAGGAGATAAGACACTCAGAGAAGGGAGAGGGGGAGTGGACAGACGGCAGAGGGATGAACCACAGATAACCTGATCTAGAAATTCTCCCCTGTGCTCCAGTTACAGTCTCTGGGGTTTGTCTGCAGGGTTTGCACTTTAAGGCCACTCTGTAAATTTGACTTATATCAATAAATCCAAAGAAACCCAATGGGCTCCAGATTCTTGCCACTTCTTCTCATTCCCCATCCTTCCAATCTTCACCATCTCGCTCCCTCTCTTTCTTCAGGTTACACCCATCGGGCCCCGACCTCCACTCCCAGTGAGTAACTTGGGTCTTAGTATCGCTTTACCTTTGGGGGCCCATCCCTTCTCTCCACTATCCCTCCCCCACGTCCCCAGAAAGAAAAGGAACCAGGAAAGCCCTGGTATTTCCCCATCTTCATTCCCCAGCTCAGAAAAGACACGCCCAGGCCTGAGGCTGAACAGGAAAATTGTCTCAGGGTCCCACAATGGGCTCTCCTGGGCTGGGAAGGCCCCCCTAACCCCCCATATTCTCTCCCTGTTTTCTCCTCAGTTGCTGTTGCTTCTGCCATCTCCTCAGCAACTTCAGTGACCACAGTCCCAGTCTCAACAGGTAGGAGCTTCTTTCTGTCTTCCTCCCTACAAAGCTCTAGTGCCCTTTGCCAGTGAGATTGTCCCCTGGGGAGCCACGACTCATTCATTCAACAGGTGCTTATTAGGAACTTACTGTAGAAAATGCCTTGGTGATGCAGCAGTAAGCAGAATAGCAAGGGCTCTAGTCTTTGATGGGTTCCCAGCAAGGAAGACAGAGAAGACAGATGTGATCGTACTAAAAGGTGTTGAGTTACAATCAGCATAGTCCTGGGTGAGTCCTGCAAGTGTGTGGATGGGTTTCTCGCTCTGGTAGTTTTAATTCCAGGAAAGAAGGGAATAGTATGACCTACAAGTGTATCTCACAGGTCATGCCCCAGGACTTGGGCAGGCTCTGCTTGGGTCGGGGTCAGCTTTCCATTCCTGGCTTCCCAGTGGCCCAAGGTGGATTTCCATGCTACCCACCGGCCCTGCTGAGGGTCCGAAATGAGCCTGTATTGTCACTGTCTTACTCAAGTCACTAGTTACACATCAGCTAGTGCCTCCTGAAGGTGTCCTGATCACTGACCACTCAGACCAGAATGGACAGTCACTGTGGGCTGGACTCACCCACGGTACTAAGTGAAGGGGTTAGGAACGAAGACTCTGGAACCACAAGCCTGGGCTCTGCCATTTAGAGATTGTGTGACTGGGAAAATTATTTAGCCTCCCTTTGGCTCAGTTTTTACATCTGTAAAATGGGGATAACACTCTCTCCCACCAAAAGGACGAGTTAAATGTAAATAAAGCACCTAAAACATGGAGTGATGTATAAAAATGCAATATGTGTTTCTTCGGGGTTTTTTTTAATTGATAAATAAGTGGATTTCAGAGAAACAATTTGAGTTTTTTTTAAAAAGCTCAGGGGCTGGCCCGGTGGTGCACTGCTACAGTGCGCCGCTTGGGAGTACGGTGGCCCTCCCACCGAGGGTTCAGATCCCACATACAGACCGGTTCCCGCTCACTGGCTGAGCGAGGTGCGGACGCAACACTGGGGGTTGCGATACATTGCCGGTCCCGGTCCAGTACGGGCGCGACACTGAGGGTTGCGATACGTTGCCAGACACGAAAAAAGACAAAAAGAAAAAAAAAAAAAAAAAGCTCAGAAAAGGAGAACATCTGTCTGGAATTTTAGCCACCTGGAGGGTCAGATATGTTTGCTTTCTGCCTCACGATGCATTTACCTCCATAGTGCAATTTATCATACTTATCCCCTAGTGCACCTCAATTAATTCAATGTCTGGGGTCTCCTCCCTGAGGAACCTGCCCATCCTGGAGGAAGACCCTCCCCACTGCTTGAAGACGCACCTGAGTGATGCCCTATGCTCAGGTTCACAGAGCACCAACAGGCTCAGTGGACGTCTTTCTCCCACCCCACTGCAGCCGCTGTCCCTTTCCTGGTGCATTTCACCCTCAACTTCACCATCACCAACCTGCAGTACGAGAAGAACATGCTGCACCCAGGCTCCTGGAAGTTCAACTTCACGGAGAGAGTCCTGCAGGGTCTGGTGAGAGCCCCGCCCACCGCGCCCCGCCCCGCCCACCGATGTGAGCCCCACCCACCTCACTATACCACGCCCATAGAAGAAAATCCCACCCACCTCACCCTAGCTCCCACAGATGCAAGTTCCGCCCACTGGTGCAAGCTCCACCCACTTGTGCCAGCCACGCCCACTGATGCCTGCCTCACCCCTACCCCTCAGCCCTTCTACTCACCTCTCTCTCCCTCCTCCACAGCTCGGGCCCTTGTTCAAGAAGAGCAGTGTCGGCCCACTGTACTCTGGCTGCAGACTGACCTTGCTCAGGTGAGACCTTAGAACAGCTGGCCAAGGCTGCCCCAGATGCTCTCAGGTCCGAGGAGTTTGGTCGACTTCCTTCCTGCCCATCCTGTGGGTGTCCTCAGCAGAGGTGGAATTCAGGAGTCACTGGCTCCAGGACCAAGGTGTCTCCTGATCCTTCCACGTACCCCCTCCACTGTCCCCAGAATCTGCAGAGCCCATCAGGAGGACTGGGCCCCTACCGTGGTCATCCCTTCTGGATTCCCTCCTTTTGAACAGGAAGGGCAATTCTTTTAGGTTTTCAATTCTGTCCTCAGGATTTTCTCAAGACAAATGTGCTTTCTCCACTTGTGTTAATTTCCGATTCCAGCTCTTCACCTATCTCAAATATGAGCTCTCATGTCGTCATTCCGTAAGGATGAAGGTTTCAGTCTTGCAATTTAATAAAAATTGGTGTATGCATGATCTGCTCACATGCCCGGGCTGTCTGGAAGAAGTCGGTGCACTCAGAGAATCCAAGTCTGGCTTCTCACCTCTCCATCAGGCTTCTCATTTCCTCTGGCCCCTTCCAGTCCTGCCCCCAGAAATCTCAAGACCCCTCCCTAGGCATTGCATTTATTATCATTCCCCTCACCCACCCTCTCCAGGCCAGAGAAGGACGGGGCAGCCACTGGAGTGGATGCTGTCTGCACCTACCGGCCTGACCCTGTGGGTCCCCAGCTGGACAGAGAGCAGCTGTACTGGGAGTTGAGCCAGCTGACCCATGGTGCCACCCAGCTGGGCTCCTACACCCTGGACCAGGACAGTCTCTATGTGAATGGTGAGCCGCAGCCATCTGTGCTTTGCTGTATTGTAGAACCCACGTCCTCCCCTTCCATGCTGCCCTTTCCCTCATCTGCCCCCTCCTTTGTCTCTGCAGGTTATACCTACCAGATCCTGGTCACCACCCCCAGGAGTGAGTATTCTGAGGTTTTTTAAGTCTCTACTACTCCTGTAAGCCCCAGCGCTTTGGAATGAAAGAGGTTGAGAGCCCACAGCCTCCACTTTACAGCCGCACCCCACCTCCAGCCTTGCGTGAACAGGGGCCTACACCCCGAAAAAGCCCAGGCATGGGAGCTCCCTTCCTGGTATCTCGAAAGTGATGGGGCCCGCACTCTAAGCACCGATTTGTTTTTCCCCAGCTTCTATGGTGGCCACAGCTTCTGCAGGGATGCCGACCTCCTCCAGTCCCACAGGTAAGAATTCTCCTCTCTGAAGAGGCTCCTGGGGACTCCCATTGGGTTCTAATCACAGGAACAAGAAGAGGAGTGGAGTAGGTGACATCCCTCAGACGGGCCTAAGGTTGACTCCTGATGGATCTGACAGGGTCTGCCTGGGTCCCTGAAAATTCCTTGAATACCAGCCCCACCCCCAGCTCTCAGCATCCCAAGCCATTCTCTGTAATCTGTCTCTGATTTCCAAGTCATTCCCCAGACTTGGAAGAGTGGAAAGTCACAGCCCTATTTGCTGCAAATGGATTTGTTCAGTGGCCAGTGCCAGAAATCAACTCAGTAAAGGATCAACTCTCTAGTTTACCCACAACTTGGAAGAGTGGAAAGTCACAGCCCTATTTGCTGCAAATGGATTTGTTCAGTGGCCAGTGTCAGAAATCAACTCAGTAAAGGATCAACTCTCTAGTTTACCCACATAACCAATTTACCAACAGCTTCTCTTAAGAAATACTTATTATGAATATATCAAATAGCTTGGACATTTTTCCTCTTACTAATTCTTTATGACCATGTTCCTTGTGGAGATTATATATATATATATATATATATAGATTCCCTGACTATAGTCATTTCACTTTAGCAGAATTTTGAGGGAGGTTCAATTCATCAAAATTTAGGCACCTACGTCATGTTACAGTAGAACTCACTATAGCAGAACTGATTTTTCCACTATAATATACACAAGGATACTTCAAAACATTCGTAGATTCATATTATTTGCCAGTTCTATTTTTTCATGAACATTTTGAAATACCCTCGTAGGTGCAGACATAAAAAATTTTTTCTGATCTGAACCATTTGAAAGATGCAGGTAACATGATGCTTCACCACTAAATAGTTCATCAAGAATCACCATAAAATCAGGACATTATTCTTTGTAACCAAAATACCATTATCACACTTCAAAAAATAACTATAAAAGGCTGGCTGGTCAGCTCTGTTGGTTAGACCACAGCCTTACAACACCAAAGTCATGGGTTCGGATCCCCATACCAGCCAGCTGCCAGGAAAAAATAAAAATAAAAAAATAACAATAATGCATTAGTATCATCTAATATGAAGTCCGTGTTCAAATTTCCCCCAAATGACTCTTTTATAGATAGCTTTTTTTTTTCAAAGCAGATTCCACTGAAGCTTACTATATTCATTAGTTTATTGTCTTTTTCATGTCTTTTGATCTACAACAGTCCTACTCAGTATCCCATTTTTTAAATCACATTGACTTTTAAAGACACCACAACAGAATCTGATCCCACATTCTGGCTTTGTCTGATGGCTTTAAAAGTACTCTTGAATAAGAACATGCTCAAGAGAAATGATCCATAAAATAGGTCTTGTGAAATCAGCAAATTTGGTAAATTGTAAAAAAATTGTTATTTGGCAAATTGTTCCTCAGGCAAGTTCTCAAAAGACGTTTTGGAGGGCAAACTTGTCTTGGAGGGTCCTCAAAGGTGCCCCGGTAGGAGGAAGAAACTGGCTGAAGCCAATACCAGCACGTGTCCCTTAAATCCCGACTTCTCATCTGTTCTTATGCGGGTCCAGCCCAGTGTAGGGAATTTAAGCGATTTCGGGCTCATGGAGGAAAATTAGATATGACCCAAGGTGCCCCGGTAGGAGGAAGAAACTGGCTGAAGCCAATACCAGCACGTGTCCCTTAAATCTCGACTTCTCATCTGTTCTTATGCGGGTCCAGCCCAGTGTAGGGAATTTAAGCGATTTCGGGCTCATGGAGGAAAATTAGATATGACCTCTAGATGGCAGTAGCACACACAGATTTATTTGGGGCACCCTTTTGACAGGTTTGCACACAGGAGGATTTCCTCACAGCATGAGACCATCTCGAGGCTAGACCATCACTTCTCAGAAGGGAGGAGGACAAGAGAATTCCCTAGGGGGAGGGATCATGCCACTCAGCAGCCCAGTGGGGAATCTCTGGGTCAAAGAGTTCTGAAGGGGAGCAGAGGCTTGCGGTCTGCAGAACCGTGAAGTTTATCTTTTTTATGGTTAGCATATGTTGGGTGTAATTTCATAGGATATGCAAAGCAAGCAGATTCTTAATTCTAAAATCTGCTTACTTGGGCTATGTTTAAAACAATTGGATGTGTAAACATTTATTTGAGTTTGGTGCTGGGGAGCTTTTGAGTGAATGGATGCCAGCCTGCTGTGAAAAAATAAATAAATCTAAGGGCCAATATACAGGCGCTATCTTTGGCTTATTTATATAACACCTGAACACTGCCATCTCTGGGTTTTGTGTGTGGCCAAAGCTGGGGACCATGTAAAATAGGACATAACTGCTAATTCTATTCCCCATCCCCATTCCACCCGCAGTCTCAGATAACAGAACAATGCCGGGAAAAGCTTGAGGCTTATGCACCCCCTACCTGGTATCTCCAAGATGATGGGGTCCCCTGTGCAGGCAGGGGTTGTGTCCCAATGGCCCGTTGCCCCACATCCAATCCAAGCCTGACTCATGGTGCAGCATCTCCTCCCCTCCCCCACTGCAGCTCCCAGCGCTGCCCTGGTACCATTCACCCTCAACTTCACCATCACCAACATGCCCTACGTGGAGGACATGCAGCCTGGCTCTGTGAAGTTCAACTCCACGGAGTCAATTCTACAAGGCCTGGTGAGAGCCCCCTGCTACCCATCTCTCTCTTCTAACTCCCTCCCAACCCTCTTTGAGTCTCTCTGCCACATGTTTTTGGAAGATATGGAAGGTTCAGAAGGCAAACAATGCCAGGTTCAAAACTTGGAACTTCCACAGAGAAGCAAATGACCTTGGAGCAATGACCTTTTTGGTGCCCCTGTTTTGTCATCTGTAAAACCAAGACAGTAAAGCATTTATTCCAAAGAGTTGTTTTGAGAATTAAATGCAGTATTGAGATGTTTAGGGAGCTGTTGTTTTATTTAAAATGTTGTGTTTTTTGTGGGGGAGATTGGGAAGATGTTGGTCAAAGGATACATAATTTCAGTTAGAAAAAATAAGTTCAAGAGACTTGTTGTAGGACGTGATGACTATAGTTAATAACAATGTGTTATATTATTGAAAATTGCTAAGAGGGTAGATTTTAAGCATTGTCACCAAAAAAAACGGAAAGCATACAAGGTAATGCATATGTTAATTAGCTGGATGTAGTCATTCCACAATGGATACATATTTTTTAGAGGAATATGAAGAACATTTTCTTTTATCATCTCAACATTCATTTGCTAGTAAATATAGAGAAAATTCAGATTAAAAAAGCAATGGAATATGAAAGTCAATAAAAATGAAATATTATTCTGACACCTAGAAGGTAACTACAATTTGTTTTAAATTTTAGATCATACCAAAATCCGTAATTAATGAAAAGAAAGAGATAATTTTTTTTTTTTTTCCTTTTTGGTGTCCGGCAACGGATTGCAACCCTCAGTGTCGTGCCCGTACCGGACCGGGACCGGCAACGGGATCGCCACCCCCGGCCTTGCGCCCGCCCCCCGCC